TACAGTATTTCTACGATTGCATGAATGCAACAAAAGGAAAGTTAAACTTTAAGCATATATCGTATTGCAGAGTAGTCACATGGTGCGTCATTCTCTTGCACTACAGTGAAAATACATATAATAATCATGAATGCATATTATGTATTTGTAGCCTATACTTACTCATTTTGATAGTAGCTAATACAGCTTACAGCCTGTGTTGCTTTCATATTAGCCTTATACAAGGCAGTTACGTTTATGCGGCTCCAGACAGATTTTTTTTTTGTATTTCTGGTCAAATATGGCTCTTTGAACTTTTTGAGTTGCCGACCCCTGAGTTAGCACAACAATCGGCAGAGGCTAACCTGAATCTTCCTGTGTCTTTGTTACTGCTTACACAGCGAAACATCCATCCAAAAGAAAGTCTCGTCCTCTCCGCGCTTCCCGGTTTCTATGGACACGCCATCCACGTGCAAAAGTGCCATATTGTTCCATACTGTGAGAAGCTAGGTCCGAAGCTAACAACAGCACAGGCTGCAGAGGAGGGGGTAGTGGGGGGCCAAAGCTCCGTGGGTGCGGGGAGGGCGAGCAGAAAGGGAGCGCATCGCTTGCATTTGCTTACTTCCGCCTCCGTCGAGCAAAGACGTGTCTCAGACGCTCCTGCTTCTGACTGCTTGCTATCTCCTGTTTTTGTCTTTTTCCTGGAGTTTTGCCACAGACAACTTTAACAAGAATGGAAATGATTAACTGGTCCCTCAACGCAATTGATTCTATCTTTTCAACACGTAAGCGTGGGTCTGGAGAGCCCGTGTGCCCGGACGGGACCTCACCAGCGGGGTATACTCTTGACAGCTGGAACAAGTATCAGCCCCTCTGTCTGTCGACCCTGTCCATTGAAGATTCGGAAGACATATATATCTTTGGCATTTTGGTGGTGGGAATCCTCCTGTTTGGCTTTGGAGCTGTTCTCTTCTACCACAAATTCGGAGGCATGGCAGTTCGCAAGATTCACGACCTGCTGGCCGACAAAATTGATGGGATGTACAAGGAGCTTAGCCGCGTCGTGGTTGAGAGTGCCGTGTCTGGAAAAGGAGAGTGGTTTTAGTGGAACAGTTGGTTAAAGACCTCGCAGCTCGTTCACTCGATGGACATAAGACTCTGGAGTTGAGATTGAATGACATTGTTTGTCAGGCTTGAACTCTCTGACCCGGCTTGGATCTGCCCCTGTGTACGGGGTCTGAGGGCGCCGCAATTCGGTTTAATTGGATTTAATAGAATATCTGCCTGACATTGCATTTAATATTGTCCCCCTGAGGCGATGTGTTTCTCCTGCTGTGTCTATGTCTTCTCTCCACTCTTATCTCACATTCCTCGGGCCAAGGCCATAATAACAAAAGGTCCCATCTACAACAATCTCACACTTCAGTCTCCAGCTCGGATCCCGTCTCCCCCGCCTCCCTCTCTATCCATCTTGCTCCCTCCCTCCCCTCCACTCCTCACTGTGTTTCCGACTCACCCCCCTCCCTGACCCCGCCCCCCTCTGACAGCCACATTGGGCCGGCTGTAGGAGGTGCTTCATCCCGAGAAAAAATCCGTGCTTTACACAAGGCACAATGTGTCTATCCAACTGTCTGTGAAACTGTATCTTATTGCTCTCTGCTGTTTATTCTACTGTTTGTCGCATGGCGCCGTAAAGATGGCGCCGTGGCAAGAGCTCTGGTGTGTGTCGTCTCCTCTGTCTGGTGCACACCGGGGTAGTCTTGCACAGTTTTTCCAATGTGGTTTTACTGCAAATGGCAAATAAATGAATCTGAATCTGAATCTGATCTGAATCTGAATCTGAAATTTTCTCCAAATCAGTTAATGCAGTTTTAATCTAATCTGGAATATTCATCTTTTTCAGAAAAGTACATCATATACATCATCAAGCATGGCAGAGCCCAGACACTTATCCAAAACTAGATCTATTGGAAATATTTATCAGAATCTTTTTTATTGCCACGTAAGTAACAGGAAGTCACAGACTTGGAAATTGCTTTGGCTCAGTGCAACAGTCAGAAAGAGATTATAAAAATATATTATAAAAAACACTTCAAAGGAATACATTTTAATTTAAAATAGAGTTACAGTTACTATTTACAATATACAAGTGCACATGGTGCACACAATGTAAGGTGACAGCAGTACAGTGAAGTAAAGTGACGTATGATGGGCAGTAAAGTGACTTTATAAAGGGCGGGGGGACAGGTTACGAAGTGTTCAAGAGTCCAACAGCAGAGGGGAAGAAACTGTTCTTGTGGCGGGAGGTTCTAGTCCTGATGGACCGCAGCCTCCTGCCTGAGGGGAGTGGTTGGAATAGTCCATGTGCAGGGTTAGAGGGGTCGGCTGTGATACGACCAGCCCGGCTTCGAGCTACAGGTCCTGCAGCGATGGAAGGCTGCGGCCGATCACTTCCTCTGCAGAGCGCACAATGCGCTGTAGTCTCTGTTTGTCCCTGACTGTGGCTCCAGCGAACCACACGGTGATGGAGGAGGTGAGGATGGACTCGATGATGGCCGTGTAGAAATGCACCAACATCTGTGCAGGCAGCTTGGCTTTCCTGAGCTGCCGCAGGAAGTACATCCTCTGCTGGGCCTACTTGATGAGGGAGCTGATGGTCGGCTCCCACTTGAGGTCCTGGGTGATGGTGGTGCCCAGGAAACGGAAGGACTCCACAGAGGTGATGGGGGAGTCCATCACGGAGGGTGGACTCCCTCCGTGATGGACAGTGCTCTTCCTGAAGTCCACAATCATCTCCACTGTCTTCTGGGCGTTCAGCTCCAGGTTGTTACCACTGCACCAGGACATCAGCCGGTCCACCTCCCTCCTGTAGGCGGACTCATCGTTGTTGGAGATGAGTCCAATGAGGGTGGTGTCATCCAGAAAAGCAGGGGAGAAAGAACACAGCCCTGTGGGGCTCCTGTATTTATAATCCGAGAGTCCGAGACATTCTTCCCCAGACGCACTCGCTGCTTCCTGTCCGTCAGGAAGTCAGTGATCCACCTGCAGGTGGAATCGGGCACGTTGAGCTGGGAGAGCTTGTCCTGGAGCAGGGATGGCAGGATTGTGTTGCAGGCAGAGCTGAAGTCCACGAACAAGACCCTGGCGTAGGTCCCCGGGGAGTCCAGGTGCTGTAGGATGTGGTGGAGGGCCAGGTTGACGGCGTCGTCTACAGATCTTTTGGCTCTGTAGGCGAACTGCAGGGGGTCCAGGAGGGGGGCGGTGAGGGACTTGAGATGGGAGAGGACCAGGCATTCAAATGACTTCATGACGACAGACGTAAGTGCTACAGGTCTGTAGTCGTTAAGTCCTGTGATCCTGGGCTTCTTCGGGATGGGGACAATGGAGGATTTGAAGCAGGCCGGGACATGGCAGGACTGCAGAGAGGTGTTGAAAATGTCAGTGAACACAGGAATAAGCTCACTGGCGCAGTGTCTCAGAGTGGCCAGAGACACGTGGTCCGGGCCAGGAGCTTTGCGGGGGCTTAGCCTCAAGAAGAGTTGTTTAATATCTTTAGACGTTATTGTCAGGCTGGGGGCAGGGCTGATGGGTGGGTCATTAGAGTAGTGGGGGGTGGGGGAGGGAGAGGTGTCAGGGGCAGCATCAAAGCGACTGAAAAAAAAGTTCAGTTCGTCAGCTAGCTTGTGGTCATCAGCACTGCAGGTTTCGAGAGCTTTAGTCTCTGTCTGTAAGCAGGGATCAGATGTATTATGGAGTGATCTGAGAAGCCGAGGGCTGCCTTGGGAACGGCGCGAAAAGCTCCGCGCACGCTGGTGTAACAGTGATCCAGAGTGTTCTCCTCTCTGGTCGGGCATTTGATTAACTGTCTGTATTTGGGTAATTCCTGGCTCAAGTTTCCCCTATTAAAATCCCCCAGGATAATAATCAGAGAGTCCGGGTATAAACGTTCCATACACAGTACTTGCTCTGCGAGTGCGCGCTGAGCCTCGCGCGCGTCCGTGCATGGCGGTATGTAAACAGAGGCAAGAATGAATGAAACAAATTCACGAGGGGAGTAAAATGGTTTACAATGAATGAAAAGATATTCCAGAGCAGGAGAACAGTGCTTGGAGATCACTGTCACATCGTTACACCAGTTTGTATTGACGTAGAAACACAGCCCTCCGTCTCTGCTATTTCCTGATAGCGCACAATGGCGATCCGCGCGGAACAGCTCAAAACCCTGCAGTTCCAGAGCACTGTCCGGGATCCGCTCATTTAGCCAGGTCTCAGTGAAGCAGAGGACACAGGATGTGGCGAAGTCCTTGTTTCTTCTCATGAGCAGGCCGAGTTCGTCCATCTTATTGCCCGGTGAGCGTACGTTGGAGAGAAAAATGCCAGGGAGAGCCGTTCGCGCTCTCCTCCTAAGACGCACGAGCAGGCCTCCGCGCTTTCCCCTTTTACGGGCCCACACTTTTTTGGCTAGAACATGGACAGGCAATAGGTCCATGGGAACGGTGGGTTGGATGTTCATAAGTTCCTCACGGGTGTAGGAACAGCCAGATGCACAGTTAAAAAGTAAAAACAAAAGAAAAGGAGAGCAGCAAAGAGACGTGTCGACCGTACAAGGCGCCATCTTTTTTATAATATAATATATCAACTTTCCTCCCTCCAAGAACTTCCAACCCCCTACAAAAATCCCTACACTGCAGAGTGTCATAAGTGTGATACAGTACCACCTAGAGATGGGCCATGGGAGAGTGACTACAACCATGGCAGTACGGGAAGTGACAAAACAGGTTTACGCAAAGTGCTACCATGACACTGTGTTCTGTGTTTCCTTGAGCACCATCAAGAGGAAGTTAGAAAGGATCTGGAAACAATTCAGTGAGGACAAAAAGAGATATGGACAGACAGGAAAAGAAGAGTCACTTGCTGTAAAGCAATACAAAGAGTTATTTCATTCAAAGTCTGAGCTCTTTGTTGTATTTGCTCATGACCCTTTACGCCGGCAATCACTGGAGAAAGAGTGGTGTGTAAGCATGAGTGAGATGGAACACAAATATTATGAAGATCAGAAGACAGAGCGACAGATGTTCTGTTCCAAAGGTGTGGACCCAGTCTGGTACCATAGCATGATGCGAACCCAAAGGCTAAGGGAGAGGAGCAAAGAGTATCAGAGGAAGAGAGACAAGCAGTTCTCATATTAAACTTTGGATCAAATTGCAGATATCTTGATGGAAACAGGTGAGATATCCAGCTCTAGCAGCAATGAAGAGAAGGACGTCACACCCCCAAAGCGATTGAGACAAATGTCTGAGAGTGACACACAGCTTCAAACTCAGGGAGAACAGAGTGAGGTGCGAGCAGAGCCCAAAAGGAGGAAACAAATCTTCAAAGATATTGCTGACTTACATATGGATGAAGATCCACTACCACAAGAATTTCAACACATCCAATTGTCAGAGAAAAAGTTTCGGGTAAAATTCTATACAACTATAGCCAATCTCTCAGGAAAGGGACTTTCTATCTTTGAGGCGAGCACAGCTGTTATTGAAGTAGGCAACAGCACGTTTGGACGATGTTGGAAAAGTGCTAACAGAGTTCCTGAGCCATAACCTTCACATCAACAACCGTCTGGCCTGCCTTGTCAGAGAAGTGATGGCGCTTCCCTCCTTAAAGGTGGTCCCTGTGATGTTTGCCTGCTTGGGTGTGCACTTGGTCGAGCCTTTCTATGCCTGAACCATCGAGAAAGATGCTACTCATTCTCAGCTCAGGGAGTTCTACAAGGGACTCCACACAAGCTTGGGTCAGCCAATCAGTGACAGTTACACTGCATTCATAACACCCGAGTATCCTGTAGTGTCTGAAAAACTTTTCATTAGAACTTTTCAAAGAAGACATACACAGAGGAGGGGCTGAACTCTGTCAGACGTGGCTGCTGAACACTTGGATGAGGTGAAGAAGCTGATTGCTCTCGTGCAGCCCCACCTGAAGAATGTCCTGGCCAGGCAGAGAAGGGACTATGGGATTGATGAGGAGACCTTCCCAATGGACTACCCTGTCAGTGAACAGGCTGGTGATATTGATGGCACCCCTGTGCACAACATTGGGATGGAGAGACAATGTGGCAAGGTGGACTACAGGCTGAAGAAGCTAGGTACACTGAATGCAGTGAGTAGGTCAATAATTTTACAAAAGAGCCAGGAACTTAGGAATGGACAGCTTCCATCCTTCAGAGGATGGAGGCAGCAGCCCAGGCAAAACGAGAGGTTTAACTCAATTGGAGTAAACTCATGAAGGCAAAATTCCAGAGTGGGGAAGAACAGAAACAGGAGATGGCTCAAAGATAAGAGAGGAAGAGACTAGACCTGCTGGACATTCTTAAATCTAGAGGTGGCCCCTTCACTGACAGTGGGGAAGTTGAGAAGTTCCTTGTGGATGAAAGTGTTGGGTTTGGGTTTTGCTATGCCTCCCCCCTCCCTTTCTGTTTTCAAGGCATGTGTGAGACCGGGGGCGTGGCTGGCTCAGCAGCAGGTGTGTGTGGGCTCACACCTGTTCCTCATCACCCTGGCTTCAAGTACCTGGTTGGAACTTTTCGCCGCTGCCAGATTATACTATGTCAAGCGTCAGTATACAGCTTTTTGGTTTGTCTTATGGTTTTTTGTAGTGATGGCAATATGAAGCCCCATGAAGCCTTGAGGGTTTGCAGCCTATTACTCGGCCCATGAGTCGAAGGCTCGCGGTGAAGCATGCTCCACTACGCCATCATGTGGACAAAGAAATGTAATACATGCCAAGGGCCTATAACAAATGGTAGGGTCTGAACATGGGCTGAAAGAATACAGCCAATGATGTGGAGACAGTTGTTATGTAAAATGTGCTTGTGTTACTTTGTTTATGTAAGTGCTTATGCAACTATTGACAGGAGTTGAAAAACAAACAATACAGTTATTCATTTTTATTCAAAAATAATAATTTTTCAAGAGTATTTGGACTCAGGCGATTTCTTTTTTTGCACAGTATTTCACCTGCCTTTGAAAAAACCCGTTCACAGGGCACAGAGGATGCAGGTGAACATAAATATGTAATAGCAAGTTTATATAAATTTGGAAATGTAAACTTATGTTTGTCCCAATATTGAAGGGGACTTTCGAGTCGAGGAATATTTGGCTCCCCCAGGTATGTTTGGACCTCCACTGTAGCGTTGGCAGTTATGTTTGGGGTTTTGGTCTGCTGGCATGTCGTGTCAAAACGTTGCCACAGTTTGCTCCCTAAAACAGAATAAACAGGTTATGAGTGACTTATTAGCACAAATAGAGTATACATATTACCTTCAGCTACAGATGATGAAGGTGGTGATGATGATGATGATGATGAAGCAGAAGCGGACAATCAACGTCTCAAAACTCGAGCACATTCGTCAATCAATCTTTTTTCAGCTTCTGCTGCCTTATTGGGGTTGAAGAATCCAATCTTTTTAAATCTGGGATCAAGCAAGGTAGAGAGGGACATGATGCTCATTGATTGGAGGTGGCTGAGCTTGTCCCTCAGTTGGCTTCGCAAATACTCAGCCATGTCTCTGCTCTCAGGTGTTTGGATATGGCCGATCTCCTCTTCTTCCAGAGCATTATGGAGAATGGTCAAAAGTGGAACTACTTTTGACCCAGAGACACTTTTCTCCTCGGACACCTCAATTGTGGCATAGTAGAACGGAGCGAGCACCTTCAGACAGTCTGCAATGATGTTATATTGTTCTGCTGAGATTTGTGTAATGTCTGTACGGAGCCCAGCCAAAGCTGCTCCAACAGGCTCTCTCAGGTTGAACAGACGCTGAAGCATTAAGTATGTGCTGTTCCATCTTGTATCCACCTCTTGAATAAGTTTAAGCACGGAGAGACCCATTTGTGATTGGATCTGTGTAACCCCCCGACTCCACCGGGCGCGTCTCCGTTGACGCGCGTTGGCTGCTGTCCGTCAGCCGTCCGTAAAACGGACCAGTGGTCAAACCGGCTGCAGCAGCAGCTCTGGCTGTGCGTTTATCAGCCTGCTTTATTTTTGTAGGAGACATGTTTGGGCATTGTGTGAATGAATGAATGTTTGGCTGATGGAGGAGTTATGTATTGTCGGCGTGCATGTGTGCGTGAGCGTGTGCGTGAGAGCGCCCGTGTGTGTGTGTGTGTGTGTGGTGGGAGGCGTGTGCGTGCATGTGTGTTTGGGTCTGTGACTGCAGCGTTTATTATGATCCAGCCTCTTCGTTTGTTTTCTACTTATTTAGCGCATGATACACTTTTATCGGAGCCAACTCGCCTCTCCGCGGCTTTAGGCAACAGGCAGAGCTATAGTTTTTAATAGAAGAAGCGGTGTGTGATGTGCATGAGCTGTGGCTATGATCAGTGCAAAGCACAGCATATTGAAGCATTGAGGACGTCGCGATGGATGAGGCAAAACTTATTGAAAGCAATTGGAAAAAGGGGAGAGAGAAAAGAACTCCAACATATCCAGTGTTGTGAGATCTGTCTCTCATAAGTGCAGCTCTGTGTGTGTCTTTGTGTGTGTGTGTGTGTGTCTGTCTGTCTGTCTGTCTGTCTGGGAGCGCGCGGCGGTGAGGAGAGAGCGCCTCGGAGGTAGACGGGACAGAAGAGCGAGGTGTATGTAAAGATTAACATTACGCGAAAAATAAATGGTAGATTTACGATCAGGAAACAATTATTTAAATTAATACATGAAAAACATTACACACGTTTGTTAATAATCATTGTCATTAACAAATACTTATAACCAAGGACTACAGCATATATCAATACATGTTTAACAATGTTGTAAATATATTATTCCATTGCATTTTCAATGGAAAACGGACCCGACACGCGTCGACGGACGGAACAAATAGGATTGTTTCTATTTCGTCCGTCCACGTCTTTTGCACCCTCCGTTGACGGAATAGGTCCGACGTGCGTTGGACGGACGCATGCGGAGGCAGTGGAGCCACTTCCATTCACTCTCATGGAGATAACGGAGACGGAGATGAAACGGACATGTTTGGACGGATCCGTAGTCCGTTTTACGCGCCCGGTGGAGTCGGGGCCTTAGTCTCTCCTATAAAACAGTCAACATATTAAAACAGTGCAGGAGCAGAAATAATAATTGACATATTACAAGTAAGGACCTTACCTTTGCAGTAGTGCTGCTCTTAAAGGCACACCGTGTAACTCTTGGCCACTAGGGGCGCTAGACCTGCAACTTTCACGTTTAGCGCCCCTAGTGGCCACAAGCAACTCAGCACTGTCGCAAAAGTCAAACAGTCAGCCGGTGTCTTTTGAGTGTGTATTCAGACAGCATGCACTGGTGTGTGTGTTCAAACTGTAGAGACATGCCTACAGATATTGAGAGACTCTGCTGTGGTCAGCCTCCAGACCGCTGCATTAGTAATCTACCACACATGGACTTCTATATCCTGGATGAGGGAGTTCTGCGTCTAGCTCGTGCTGCGTGGAATGACATCTTTGCGGTCGATGACATCCAGGAACCAGGTGAAGAGCAGCGCTCATACAGACATGCAGCTTACAGCACGATCCCTTTCGCGTTTCCTCTTTTTAGCCTCCTCCGAAGGTTTAAAATTTTTCCTTGCCTCAGCCATGACCAGGAGTCGAGCAGGTGAAAAATGAGTAGCAAAAGCCTTAGCTCCATGAGTATATCAGCGCCTGTAGCCGTAAAGCAAGTCTTTCTTCCAAGTCACGTGACCTGGTGGCAGACGGTCCGTCTGCTCAAAAGTTACATGGGCGGTATTTCAAGAGGGCAGCCCCGCTCGGAGCATTGCAAGTGTCAAGCGCTGTATATTGGCCCAAGTATTCATATAAAATAACTCATATGTGTCAACTCTTTAGGTCACAAAGTCCGCGGTGTGCCTTTAAAGTATCCTACTATCTTACGACAGTTTGTCCTGATGTCACACAACACAGGACTTTGGTTGAGAGCTTTTTTGATCATTAAGTTAAGCGTGTGTGCTACACAAATTGTATGACGCAGATCAGGGCCGGAGTGGGACAACATTTCAGGCCGGGAGCTTTTCATCCATTCAGGCCAAACAAGGTTCTAAATTTGGGTTTTTGTCATTGTATTTTGATGTTCTTTTAATAGTTTTAAGATTGACTGTCAAAACTTTTGTTTTCTTTATTTTTTTTAATATTGACTGTTTATATAATCTCGGACGTTTAAGGATTGTTGTACGTTGCTTAGCAACGTAACGTTTATGGAGCTTAGTGAGAATAAAGACACACACACACACACACAATGAACTAAGTGTTCATTAGTGTATAACTATAACAAGCTAATCAATTATTGTTAAAAAAGTAGTAAGGTAAAATCACATCGTTACAGCTCATATAAAAGGAAAAATAAAAACGTGTATGAACCATCAGTTGGAGAGACCACTGATTTCAACCGGGGAAGCTACACTGGGTGCACTGCTAGGCTGGCCTGGCTGTGTAGCCGACATGTGACGTCACATTTGTTTAATTTTGCTCTGGCCCAATGACAGTAAAGCTTTGGCCAGTGTTGTGCCAGTTCACAGCTTTTCTGAACTAGTTCAAGTTCAGTTCAAACATGCTCAAAGTGAACAGTTCACGTTCGAAGTTCTCAATTTTAATTCTGAACTAGTTCAAAGTTCAGTTCATTTTACTTTTTGCGAGATATTCAAATAAATATTTTTTTTCACTACGAGCTAGAAATCACAATACGTGGTGTATATATATATATATATATATATATATATATATATATATATATATATATATATATATATTATATCCTGTACACTGCACAGGATGTTTTGACTCCAATGCAGACAAGATTTACATGGGTTTCAATGGGAACTGAGTTGTCCCATCTCTGCTCATAAGTACAAACTGTAATGCGCTGCAGAACGTGTGTCTATACTTTATGTCAAATGTAAACGGCCCTGTGTCACTGACTTACCCCTGTGTTTTCATCACGGCACATGTGAGTCCAACAACCAATGAATAGCACTAGCATATAGCGCCGCACCGCAAGTACACTGAGTCGGGGTGCGTTCACAGACGGTGGAAACCGTAGGAATTTTTAGTTTTCAGCGGAAACAGTGCGGAGAATACAGGAGGGAGGAACTTTCTCTCGTTGCGTTTCAAAAGAGAGACAGATTTCACTCAGTTTTAAATGGAAAACAAATTGTCTGCCGTTCATGACACATAATATGAACTAATTCACGTTCAAGTTCTTTATTAAAAAATGTGTTGCGTTCAGTTCAACGTTCACGAAAAAATGAGCGTGTTCAATGAACGCGTTCTTTTGAACTCGTTCACGCACAACACTGGCTTTGGCCTGGGCCTTGCTCATTGGACCAGGCCACCAGGCAGGGTAGGAGTTTGCAAAGACCGTGAGGATGAAATTAAATTAAAAGAAAAAAAAAAAAAAGACCGTGATGATAGGGCAGGCCCAGGCCACTTTGACACGCAGGCCACCGGGAGATCTCCCGATGCTCCCGATGGCCAGTCCGGGCCAGACGCAGATGCAGCTCTCGAGCACAAGCTCCCATATTCGCAGCACCATCAGTCACCAGACATGTCACCTTTCCTGCTAAACCCCACTCTGACATAAGAGAGGTCATCACTCTCGCTAGATTTGCTGCTGTATGTGCCTCAGGGAAATGCTGCACCCCAAGGACAACAGTCTGCAGAGAAGTGCTCTCGTCAATAAAATGACCAGTCACTGCAAGATAGGCATCAGTGTTGATGGAGGTCCACATGTCTGCTGTTAAACTAACAGCAGATGCAGAAGACACCACCACTTTGGCCTTGTCTTTGGCTTCCCTGTATCTCTTCTCCACCATGGCTTTCAAAGTCTGAAAAAAGTAAAGTCTTGAAATAGTGGATCTGAGGATAATAAATTGTTAATAGTTCACATAAATACCTGCCGCGTGGGAAGAACACAAGATGGTGCCAAAGCTTTCACAAGCTTTCGGAAGCCAGTTCCCTCCACAATGGAAAAGGGCTGGGAATCCTCAATCACCATATCCACCAACGCCTCAGTCAAGTCAACCATCTCAGCTGAAAGAAAATGCACATTAGGGTTAGAAATTTATCTAATGAACAAATACATTCAAATAAAATATATTTAGTGTAATTGTAGGACAATCAGCAATTATTATCATGATATAAAATGGCCTACCCGAGACAGGTTCACCTGGGTTGGAATCCACAATGCTATGCAAGGCACGATAGTGCCTTAGCATAGCTGAGGTGTTATTATTATAACCCAGTTGTTTGGAGCATAACAGACACTTCACCTGCAATTGAAAAAACTATTATTCAAACGTATTTATAACAGAGAAAAGTGAGCAAGAGAAATTATGTGTTGTCATATTTGTGTAATCTATTATTACAGAATTATTGATATGCCTTACCTTACTAGGTGAGATCTGCTCAAAGTGCTCCCAAACTGGAGAAAATCTTCTCTTTCTTGCCGGTTCCATCGCAAAAAAGAAGCTCAAATAGGATGCCAAATAGGAGGCCAAATGAGAAGCGCAATAACCCAAAAACACACAAAGTGATGAAGGGGAATCCATTGCGTTCACTCGTCCCTTTTATTTCGAACCGCGCTCCAAACCAACGAATCATTTCCTGAATCAGTCACGTGGTACGGCCGTTCGCGAGGCTTCGAACGTCATCACACACGTGACCAATACACGCCTCGACCCACACTTCACAAGAAACGCCCCCAGATTACTCGGTCCACGCTTCGAAGACTCGGTCCGCTCAGCACATCACTAGTTTTTTCTGTCCTGTGTTCAGGTCCTCCTTTTCCTGACCAGCCAGCCAGCTCCCTGCCTCAACTGCCTGCTTTAAGTTTTTTTTCGTTTGTGCAAAGTAAATCCTCTTTTAATTTTGCTCTGTCTCCATCTCTGCTTTGGGGTCCAGAACACTACCGTAACAGAAAGTCTGAATACCATTGCAAAGAATGAAGCTTGAGGTTCAGTTTGCAAGAGAAAGTACCACACTTCTGCCTAAAGCTGATCCCATTTTCAGAATCCAGGTGACACTGGCCAGTGGGAAGAGGAGGATGAAAACAGCACAGGAGTTTGGAGAAGCTCTCATGGCATACCTAGGCAAGAGGAGTGACCGAACCACACCGGAATATGAAAGATTCCAAGAAGGTCTTAAAAGACTAAGTTCTGTATCTTAGGTTAAGTTTTGTATGTTAAATAAAATTATTTTCCAAAGTTTTCCAATTGATTCTTTTAGTGTTAGTACACTATAGGATCAGTAAAAGCATAAAAAAGGTTGTAGCAGCCTAGAATGTTTAAAGATGGATGGGGGATTATTTTCAAACTATAGAGTTACTTTGAGGTGCAACATATCTTCTAATAATAGTGTTAAATAATTACAAAATTAGTACAAAACCATGGACTGCAACCTTAACGTGGTGGGGGAGTTTGAGTACTCAGATGATCCTAGGAGCTATATTGCATGGGGTTTTATGACCCTGGTAGGGTCTCCCATAGCAACAGGTCCTATTTGAGTCAGACGAAGACAAAACACAGATCCAACACACCCACCATGGACAGCAAAAACAATTATAACCATGACGTTGCTTGGTATGGCCTGTCCTCCTGTGGACACACCACCATGGGTGTCGGCGGCATGAAGGAGCTGTGGGTGAGGTCGAGAGATACCGGCTAGAGGTAAATGGCCTCACTTTCACACACAGCTTGGGCTCTGGAACCCAACGACTCAAGACTTTTCTAGAGTTTCTCATGGTGAGAGCAGCGAGCTGAGGTGGGCTTTCTCATTGCTCCTCATTTCAGCTCCACGTGTTGGAGTTCTCCCCGGTGAATGAGGGGGTCAAGTCCCCCTGCCTCCGGGTGGAAACAAGTTTGAGCAGTATTCAGTTATTGGACCTCTGTGCGAGTCAATTACTCAACGCAAACATGAAGCAGTCCTTCCTCATTGACTGAAAGACAATGTTCATTCTTATTCTTTGTCCAGTCTTATTATCGACTCTTTCTTTTTTTAGCATTGGGATCCATGCGCACACGCCGGTTTGTTTACAACAGCGGCAGCCTGGCGCGGGGCCGCATCACAGGATATGACGCACTGTGTTGAAATTGAATATTGCTTTTGCACATTTTACAGCATTTAAAAATGTTAAGAGTGTTTTTGCTCCTACAAAAAACCAAATTCAAACTAGAAATAAAATATAGCCCTCCCACTCCATTTTCAGACATGTTTGAAAAGGCTCCAGGAGGCACTCGAGGAGCACTAAATAGCCGCAAGCGGCTCCAGAGCTTGCGGCTGCTGACCCCTGTCTTAGGTGAACCTCATCAAGGAGGAGACATACTCGAGGGACAATCAGTCTGTAGCACTTGTCTAAAATAACTGCATAATCTTCTGATTTACACCTTCAATATGATGTGCCGTTTACACAAGGACGCAGCAACAGTAAAACATTAGAGTTGGGTATCGGATTGGCCTTTTGTTTACATGAAGTAAACTGTGAAGTTTACCGTGTTTCAGGGGGGTGATAACGCAAGCATTGAGAAACAGCCTCTAGAGTGGAACAGAACACATACGCTGCGCAGCGGAGGGCTGTTTCACAGCTGTGTCAAAAAAACTTCCCTGCACATACATTTGGACATACGCAGTAGTGGCGATCAACTAATGCTAGGTGTGCCTCGAGTGTTACACGGAGGAGCAGTTCTACTCCTTTGTCTGTCCAAACTAAACCACACAACGCTGTAGTTTCAGTCTCCATTTTCACTGCTACTGTTCAATGCATGAAAGATGTTGGTGCATCCTCTTCAGGCTTTGCTGTGGCCTGAGGAGGACGTTGTTGAGGAAGTGATTATATGTGTGGGTGTTGCGCATAAAGTCGTAAAGTTCTACTGGCCCTTACTGGCCGTACGCTAGAACTACTCAGTTTTCCGTTGCCCTGTAGACTCTGTGCACTTTGAATAAGGAGCCTGGTTTTTTCTAATTGCTTTGCAGCATATCCACAACGTCTCCATCTAAACGGGGCCTGAGTTCGTTCTTACTCTGTGCTGGATTATCATGCTCGTTATGGACTAACTTGCAGCCTGGGTTACCTTCACATATTTTTTTGCGGCTCCAGACAGATGTTATTTTTAGTTTTTTTGTGTGTCAAATATAGCTCTTTGAACCTTTTGAGTTGCCGACTACTGACCTAAGGGATTTATAAATCAGGTGATGCCACCCACAAACGTCTGGCCCAAGATACAAATTTTCCTACTTACCAGGTAAGTAGGAAAAAACATGAAAAGGCATTCAAAAGGGACACGATGCGCACATGCACAATGCTTAACTTTCTTTTCTTTGACAGAATTGAGAACATGGCAGAACGTGCATTTGAGATTTTCTGACCTAGTTCTGAGCAATAACGTGGGAAAGAAAAACTACACTATATGACAAGCATAAAGTATGCAAAACAGACCGAATCCCTCACAAAACAATCATCATAATACACTTTATCAACAGTTTTAATGTTCTGTTATCTTAGCGTCGGTAAGGTCGGTCTTGGTGTCGGTAAGGCAGGACTATGGGCAGGACGTGGCGCTGTTGTGAGGCAGGATGTCTTAATTTTGTATTAGCCTAGCTCCGCAGGTTTTCTTTATATTTCCATCAGCCATTGTCAACTTACCTCCCACAGGGGCCTCATACATTCCTCCAAGCTTCATTCTCTTTACTGTGTGTTTGTAATACTTCATAGCAAGCCTCTGTTCAGAACACACGTGCGGTGGAGGGACAATTCTTTAGGTTACATAACAATCATTTCACGTGACCAAGATGTAAGGAGAGAATCCGATCATTTTTTTCAAAATAAAGCATTGTTTAAATTCGGCTTATAAAAACTGAAATTATTTATTCTTTCCTCAGTTACCCAGTTCAAATGTCCCACGGCCCAGTACTGGTCCGCGGACAAGGGGTTGGGGACCACTGCTTTTGAGGGTTCTCCGGAATCTGTTTCCAATTTGGAAAACACAAATAAACTCCTCCCTCTGCTGGTAGCCTAGTGAGTGACAGGTAAATAGAATTAATTACCCTTCATACTTTGTATTTCATGAATTAGTTGACATTTTTCCGGTTTCCGGGCTGCTGGGGTCAGGTGCAACCCTCTGCTCTATGACCTCAACTACACTGACCTGATGACAGTGCTACAGTGTCATTGTACCTTGGTGCTCCACAGCTTGACCGTCCAGTCAAAGGAGGAGGAGATGAAGAGGTGGGAGAAGTCAACGCTGCCCCCTGATGCCCGTCACTGGCCCCTGGTGACCCTCGAACACCTCACAGATCCCAGCCTTACTGAGGGGACACAGGGGATAAGAGCTATCATTTAGGGAACCCAATATTTCTTTTAAATTTTGATATTTTACACTGGAAGTAACTACAGAACATCTGTGATTAAAAGTTTAACATTCAGTGAGAATATCAGCCAGTCAACAACTTCCTGCTCTGGACAGAGCAGTCGCATTCTCTTGCTGCTCCTCGCTTGCTGCTTTTTTATCTCCTTTAATCATTTTTGCTTACATTTATTTATTCCACAAAACACGGATTACTCCTTTTTGCATACTTCAACACAAGACTTGTGGAATTTACCTAACTTACAGCATGTCGGGAGGACGGAAAAAAAGAACAAAACTTTGCGACGGCTGTTTTTCACTCAAACAGGAGCTAAAACTTCAAGACCGAATGTTTGTGCTTGAATCAGAATTGGGGCTGAACACAACAATACCAGTGAAGGGAAATGGACCAAATGGACAGAACGTAAGTTATGATGACGCTATTTCATTTCCCAAAATCAACAGAGACAATTGTTGGAACACATATGGTGCCAAGCCCAAACGAGGCAAAGCTAATGAGTGTCATAATGCCACAGCAAAAATCTTTAATTACAAGGAACCGCTATTCACCCCTTTTGGAAGATGAATCAGCAGTACCGTCTCAGTCTCATTCTCAGTCTCAGTCATGGTCAAATGCAGCTGAGTCGATCTTTTATCGGGGATTCGGCGATTAGAAACTTTAACATGCGTAATCTGAAGGTTCACTCAGTACACTCGGCCAAAGTGGATGAGATAAGGCTCTTAGCTTTTGTCTGAGACCGGTGGGGTAAAAAGATTGTTGATCCACGTGGGGGCAGTAAACGTCTATGACAACACAAGTGAAAAGTTGAAACGAGATTATTCTCTCTTATTGGACGACCTTGCAAAAATGAACGTAACAATCGTTATCAGTGGCCCACTACCAAATGTGGACGGGAAGCAAATGAAAAAATTCAGTCGTCTGTATCAGCTAAATACTTTCCTATTCAAAGAATGTTCACGCAGAGGACTTGCCTTCATTGAGAATTTTAATCTGTTCTGGAATAGGCATGAGCTTTTTGAAGGGAAAGGGCCACATCTGAACACTTACGGAGTAAAAGTGTTGGAGGATAACCTTTCTTTTGCCCTGGGACCTCAGCCTGCGCAGCGCGTGCAGCCATAGAAAGGGAGGAAGCCGACTCCAAAAGTCTCTGCACCTCCACCACCTCGAAGGATCTCAACACCACCACCACCTCGAAGGATCTCAACACTATCACCGCCTCGAAGGATCTCAACATTTCCACTGTCATCAGAAGCAGCTGCATCATCACCAGCAGCAGCTGCATCATCACCAGTAGCAGCACCAGCAGCATGACCACCACCAACATCCTCATCCCCAGCCTGCTCCGAAGCAGTCACGCCTTCTTCATCTACAGCGCCTCTGAAGCCCCCATCCTCACCCCAGGCTACAGCAGACAGGCCTGTGCTGGGGTTTCCTCAACCACCTGCCGCTCCATCAAAGACTCCCTCGCCACCTCCCATGGACCTGTCTTGGGTCCCCCCTGCCATGTCCACTCCATCAAGAGAGAATGGGGACACGTCCCTTTGATTTTCATCCCCGCCTTCACTGTTAGACCTACCTGAACACTCTGCAGGGCTAAAAAAATTGGCGATGAAGACTATTCCTCTCACACCCATATTAGCGAGATCTAGAGTCCTGTCCAACATTCTAAACCACTCCCCATATGTACCTCCAAAACCACATAGGGTTTCCAATTCACCTTCAAAAACCACCTCAGCCGGTCCCTCCCCTAACCTCATGACCATTCCACCCCCACTTCCCCCTCGTTCCTCAGCCCACCCCGCCCCTAACCCATCACCAAAAACCCCTCCACCTCCCTGCCCCCCTCGTTCAACACCCAAAAGCCACCCACCTCTCCATCCTCCTCCCCCGCCTTTCCCGTCCCCTCTTTTCTCTAAACACTAGGATGCTCAGGGTCTCTGCTTCGCAGCCACTGGCAGTCTAGTTAGAGGAGAGACCCGGCTGGGGCCCTGTCATGAAGCCACCTGTGCCATTCCCTTAGTGATAACACAAAGAATATATTACAGAAAGACATCTGGAGTTAATCAGTCTAATCTGGAAAATCTAATTCTTGTTCCGTGTAAGAATCAGCCGACCACAACCGCTGATACTGAAACTTTGTAACTTGCTACGCTTAATGTCAAGTCTTTTTTAATCAATAATTTTATCTTATGTTCATGGCTGAAACTTGGCTTGACCAAAATTCAGGAAATGCAGTTTTAATAGAAGCATCACCATCAAATTTCAAATTTGAATCTGAAATACGGGAAAACAAAAAAGGAGGAGGCTTAGCTCCCATTTTTAGAGACCACTTTGTCTCCCATAGAATGTCTCTTGGGAAGTTTTCGTCATTTGAATATGTGTCTTTTAAAATACAACAAAAACAATCTCCTCAAATACTCTTCATTGTCCTATACAAGCCACTGCAGTCATGTCACAGTTTTATTAATAATTTTACGGAGTTGCTTTCAGTTGTATGCACAGATTTTGATGACAGAAATGCAAAAGAGCTGAGTTCTGTACTTGAATCCTTTGATCTCACTCAGCACGTAAGTGGCCCCACCCACAGCAGAAGGCACACTCTAGATCTGTTAGTTACTAAGGGGGTTAATATTTAAAATCTAAACGTGGTCGATGTTGCTCTTTAGGATCATTTCTCATTTCTTTTTTTACATGTGTTTCACTAACAAACCACCAGTAAATTAAAATACGAGTGATCTATTTATGGGAATGATAAACTTTGAGAATGCATCGTGTTCTACTGTAGATGAACTGTTTAACTCTGTCACCTCTAGTGTTTTGAATGTTCTGGATACCGTTGCCCCTGTGAAGGTTAAAATAGTGAAAAATAAGCAGAAGGCGCCATGGGCTAAAGCAGACTCGGTCAGGGCACAAAAGAGAAAGTGCCGGAGGGCTGAGCGGAAGTGGCGCAAGTCCAACCTCCAGGTTTATTACGAGATCTTCAAAGATAAGTTGTGCGAGTTTAACCGGGTGCTACATAGTACGAGAGAAAGGTATTTTTCTGAAATGATTGAAGGCTGCAGCAACAATCTGCGTGTTCTGTTCTCAACAGTTAATAGATTAACAAACCCCCCTGTTCAAATGCCATTAGAGCTTACTTCCAAACGTAAATGCAATGAGTTTGCTAATTTTTTCAATGACAAGGTTCAAGGCATCAAAAACGCCATTGTCTCCAATCCACAGATAACCATCCAACAGCCAAAAAGGCTCTCTGAGCTAACTCACTTTGCACCTGTAAATGATCAAACTGTCCAACAGATAATCTCCAGTTTGAGCTCCTCCACATGCAGCCTGATGTACTACCCACTAGATTTCTGAAGTCTGTTCTGAGCAGTCTGTTACCTTCACTCACACAGATAGTAAACATGTCCCTTCATTCTGGAATATTCCCAAAGGCCCTGAAAACTGCAGTCATCAGGCCCCTGCTAAAAAAGAGCAGTCTGGATGCTACGGTACTTAACAACTATCGTCACCTCTCAAATCTGCCATTTATGGGGAAAGTCCTTGAGAAAGTTGTCTACCTACAGCTTACTAGATTTCTTATAATCAACAACTCATTTGATATGTTTCAGTCCGGCTTTAGACCCCACCACAGCACTGAGACTGCTCTCGTTAAGGTTACAAACGATATCCGGCTGAACTAGGGCTGGGCGATATGGCTGAAAACTATATCACAATATTATTAATTCATATCGGTCGATAACGATATATATTGATTGTTTTTTATTTATTTTTAAAAACGTAAATAAATAAATTTTTCGTGTCGGCTAACACATGTTAGCAGCCTTGTTTACAGTCACGGGGGAATGAGGCTGGAGCCAAATGTTCACAAGCAGTCTCCCCCACTTTAGTCCTGGTTTAATCCTGGTTTAGCTCCTGTTTTGGCTGTTTTCGAGTGTCTTGTGTCCCTGTGGCGGCTCCGGAAAAAGGTAATCTCTTGCTTTTGCCGAATGCATAGAGTCTCTGTACCCACTGCCTCTCCCGCGCCGCACATGCTGTTCCTCGCACGGACGTGTTTAACCATTGACACGGCACTGAAACACGATCTTTAGATCCATGATCCATGGATGCTACGCATGGTGCGGTTGTTTTTATGCTTTTCCCAGAAAGTTTTGCGGTTTGTAGTCGGCTGTGATAGGTCGAGAAGCCTTTGCCTACATCCCCCAGAATGCAGTGCGCTTCTGACGGCTTTACTTCCTGTGTTTTGTTCCTGTTTTTTTCCGAACGGACTGAAGTGAAACATGAAACAGAACATGGACCAGTGGACTCACTCCTTCACTGTATCCAACAGATCAGTGAGTGGATGCAAAACACCTGCAGCTAAACGCAGACAAAACTGAAATGATTGTCTTTGGTCCCAGAAACAAAGAAAGAGCGTCATCTGTAACCTACAGTTTCTCTCCCTAAAACCTTCAAACAAGGTCAGAAATCTAGGGTCATACTAGACTCAGACTTAAATTTTAATAGCCACATCAAATCAGTAACATCAGCAGCTTTTTACCATCTAAAAAACATTGCCAGGATCAAAAACATAGTGTCTAAAGCAGACTTGGAGATTCTTATCCATGCATTTGTCTTGGGTAGGTTAGACTACTGCAATGGCCTGCTCACAGGTCTGTCCAAACAGGCTGTAAAACAGCTGCAGTACATTCAAAATGCAGCAGCTCGAGTCCTGACTAGAACCAGGAAGTACAACCACATTAGTCCAGTTCTCAGGTCTCTACACTGGCTTCCTGTGGCTCAGAGAATAGACTTTAAAACAGCTCTGCTTGTGTACAAGTCTCTCCATGGCCTCGCACCAAAATATATTGGCGACATGTTAGTACCATATGAACCAGCCCGGACTCTGAGGAGCACAGGGACTGGACTCCTGTTAGTGCCCAGAGTCAGAACTAAACATGGGGAGGCTGCTTTTCAGATTCATGCTGCTAAAATCTGGAACAGTCTTCCTGAATATGTGAGACAGGCCTCCTCAATGACAATGTTTAAAACCAGGTTAAAGACATTTCTGTTTAGCTGTGCATACAACTGAGGGATTTTATATTTTTAGCTTTCTTTTTAATGTTCTGTGATTATTTATGATTTTAATGCTTTCTCATTTTGTTCAGCACTTTGAATGGCCTTGTGTATGAATTGTGCTATAAAAATAAACTTGCCTTGCCTTGCCTTCAACAATATTACACCTTCCAACAAATATTCTTGGATTTTCAAGTCTGTTTGCAACAAAATATGAATACATCTTTTACATAATAATAAGCAGCGAGGTGACACACACGATCCAACATCCACCAGCGTGGCTCCAGGAGGCTGTCCTCTCTGCTCTGGCACCCAGGGAAAATTTCCAAAGTCAGATCCAGACGAATTTGTCGCATCTCATCATTGCGGCTCATCATGCGTGTGCTGGAGTTTGGATACTAGTTCTGTCTTCGCGATCTCATCATTGCGGCTCATCATGCGTGTGCTGGAGTTTGGATACTAGTTCTGTCTTCGCAGCAAGGTTACAGTTTTGTTGGTTTTGAATTCAGTGCATTTTGTATAACTTTTCTTCAGACGTAAAGTTACTTAATTAAGAAAAAAATTATTAAATTGATTTGTAAATCATTTCCTGCATATTTCAATGGAACAAAAAACATACTTCTCATTTTTATATAATTATCATAAATTTTCTTCTTTGATCAAAGGCCGCATTGAGTGCCTGTCGTAATCTTATGGCGCTGTTTCCTCTTCCTCACTGTCATATTCATCATCAGCGGTTTCTATGTGCAGCTGGATCAGAATGGCTGTGTGCTCCTTCATAAATACCACACTGACTTAGGCGTACAGACACTTTTTTCATCTGAGGTTTGGCATGTTTCACTGGAATGTTGTCAAATGAGGTCCATTGTGTCTGTAATTTCCTTGTGATGTGAAAGAGAAAGCTAAAGTGTTTGTCTCAGACCTGCCGTGCCTGGAGGCCATGTACACGGCCCCCTCCTCACTGCCCACCAAGTAGTTGTTGACGTCTCCAGTGGGGAAGTCCAAGCACGTCACTGCTACCGGCTTGGACTTGTTGTACAACAGCTCCATACTCTCCTAAAAGATGACACAGATGTGATTCAAAGTATTGAAACTTAAGGAAGACACATGTTTCTGTTGCTATACATGGTCATCTTATCATTATATATTTTGGGTATGTTTAAAATCTTGAAATTGAGCTAGGGTTGTATTCTGCCTCTTTTCTCACCTTGGTTTAGAAGATTTCACCACTAAAAGTTCTTTTAATAAAACGAAAAAGTAGTACTGACTAACCGGCAGGATGTTACTGCTATATATCTTTTCCTTTCTTTCTTTTCATGTTCCATCTATTAATTTTCTTTCACTATCTATTACCATGTTGTGGGGGCAGCAATTTGAGATGCCCAGACTTCCCTAATCAGATCATCAAGCACTTTTTGAAATAATTTTCATCTGTAATCTTGACTACAGTGTTTGTGAGATATGATAATCCATGTAGTTGTGTCGTTTCAATGTTGGTGTTCTGCGGTCACCAGTGGTTGGGAGAGCATGTCCAGGCTCCAGCTGCACACGTGTCCATCCGTGGACACGGAGATCAGGTTGTGTGCATTCTGAGTGCCCACCACACTCAAGCAGCACACCGGGTGCTGAGGACACACATGCGAAACCTCTTACAACACATGCCCCATTATATTTTTTAAACATAAACCCTCATTTTTGGACCAAGAAAATCAGTCTATGAAGAAAAGTGGGGAAATAGTGTGACATTACACAACATCTAGAGTTCACAAGACTAAATTAAAGGTCCCATATTACGCTTTTCTTCATGATTCACAGTGAAGTCAATAATTCCCTTTGACTGACGTATCCAAAATCGATGCAAGAGCGAGACAAGAGATCTTCACGTTTAACATCTGCATTTAATTATCTTTACAATCAGATACAGAATGTTCAACAAAAGTGCTCCTATTCTAGGCCTGCTCTTCCCCTGTCCGTGCCCTGTCCTGTCTGACCTCGAAAAACACACACAGGGGCTCATGAGGGAGACTTCCGATGACGTCATCCTTATGCGTCCAAGGGGTGGAGTTTCCGGGTGTGCTGACGTCCCTTGTCCACTGGGAGGCGTCAGAATGCAATTGGTGAATCTCCCAGTCTGCCTCAAGATTCAGGTTCTGAACTCTTGTCCTCGTCAAAATGTTTATTATTTAAAGTTAATAATTCGCCCTGTTTAAACAGCATTTTATCTTTATGACTCATGTCTGATTATCCTGTGTCCTTGGGGTTTTTCCTGAGTGCACGGAGGTCTTTCTGGCTATGATGTTCAAATGGTCAAATATTAAAATATACAACAGTTCCCCTCTGTTGACCTATATTAAACCAATTTAGGTCACAATCTTTCAATATTCCTTCTGGGTGCCGAGACTGGGGAGCTCGTCCATCATCGCCTTGGTTCTTGGTTCTGGCTCGTTATCTGTGAAGAGTTAATACAGAAAGAATACACACACAACAACATTCGAAACATTCCTTCACAAAACTCTTTGATGACCACTGCTGTCATTCTGATTCTTCTTCAACCTCGTCTGTAATGTATGCACTAAAACTATTCACTATAGTTTAAACTATTCTAATCTATTTACCAATATGTTTGCATCTTTGCTTTTATTGAGCCATATTCTTAAACATATGTTTTTTATCTAATAAATCTATCTATACTGTGGTTTGCTTTCATTATCAGTGGCTTTGGGCCATTTTGTGGGGCTTTGCTCATTTTTCCAAACACATTTTGTTGAACCAGGAAGTGCTGTCACTTCCTTCTCTCAGACCGTTTGGGATAAATGTACATCGTTAATCAAATTGGTATTATCCGTACAGGAGCTAATCTATTTTAGCAGGTTTCTCTGGGGTTAGTCCCTATACAACGGTATTTTGATTCTCTAATCTGTTGCTGACAAATTGACAGCTCTTAAAATTCTCAAAACTACCTAAAGATCTACTTTTGTGCTATACCCAAATTCACCAAAATGCTTTCAAATGTTTTTGAATCTGTGTTGGTTCTAATCGATCTCATTAATCTATCTCATTAGCTTTTTGCATTGTCAACATTCACCTATGTTTGAAACAAGCGAATTTGACAGTATCTAATAAACCTGTGCATAAACTGTAATGAACTTTATCTACCTTTGAAGTAAATACTTTTGGACATAATATGAAGGAAATGGTCTTTTTACCGTTTGATATTAGCCTTGGCTAAAAATAATCTCTATTTTTGAAAGCATCTATCTATTTTACACTCTATTGTGACTCCAAATCTTGGTTGTAGTTTGAGCCAAAGCATATTCCCAATTTTTGAGTTCTGATTGTAACAATTGCATTGGCAATAGACGATTTTTCATTGGCTGGTTCTTGTTCTGCAAATCACTATTCTATGTATTGTATTTCAGACAATTCCAAAAACAACACAGTCGTTCTCCAATATTAAAAACATGAATCTATTCAATTTGCCTAAAAGGGAGCGGGAGGAAGAGAACTATTTTAAAACCGTTCTCTACGATTATATGGCTATGAAATTAATTATTTAATAAACAAAAGCACATTCATGGCTTCTGTCCGCTGCTTATAACTGTTTAAAGAGTTGTCCCAAACTTAATATGTGTAAATACATCAGCTGTTTGTAATAAACAATAACATTTGACCTGTTCTCCAATGGAGCAGCTCAGAGGCTGCATCAAGAGCAATGTTATATTTGAGCTATTTTTAGATTTAAAATTGTGTTAAAGCCTGTCGTTCTATGTCTGCATTTTAATACTACTCTCTATAAACACATCTGCACTAATTCCTACAGATGTGGAAAACAGAAACATCTAAAATCTGACTCCATTTGATTCCTTTTTACTTTAGTTATTAGAACAATTTGACCTTATTGATACTTATTTCCACAATAGAACTATTTTGATTATTCACTAGTCTAACTATTATTACTATTGTTTATTCTGACACCTCTTCTTAGCGACTTTTCAACCTATAGCTCCTCGAATCCAATGACATTATAGCTCCAGACTATTTCATTCTATTCTATTATTATCTTATTATTATATGATCTATTATCTTAAAGAGTAGATCTGTTTGATGTTATAAGCGCTATTATTTCTCCTTTTGAATTTGCACAACACTAAATTTAGAATGACCCCCTATGGGACAAATATAGAATTTTATTTCATTTTGGCAACTCCGAAAATTACTTAATAATTTTCCCATTTTGCTTTTTTTAGGCTGCCCTTTCTATTATTTATTTGTTCTTGTAGATATATGTTTTACACTTCTTTCTAATGATTTAGAAGGTTAAGGACCATGACCACCTATGACAATAACATTACAATACTCCCCTCTGTTGGTCGTGGTCCAAAGTATAAAACATGCATCTGTATGTGTGTGTAGATTACTGTTCCAATCATCTTCAGTTGTTCCTCCCGGATCGTCCTCAATTCATATTGTGGGCTTCGGTGCCAAAGTAGAGGCTCATTTTCCTCATGATCCATACTACTGTGTTATCCCTGAAGCAGGTGCAGTTTATCTTTCATCTGAAAAACAAACATTAGAACACAAGAAACGCCCACTTTCCTCTCTTCGCATGGTGCGGCCTGTCAATCAATCCAATTGGGCAAAACATAACTGCATTGACAGACGGTGTGTGACATCAGGGCAGAGGCTGTAGCCAAATACAGACTTAACAATATGTATGTTTCTAATTTTATACTCCCCTAAATGTGAATTACAAACCAAAGTTGTCCTCCGCCCAATGACCGCTCACTGCGGTTGGACCGAATCACTGTCCGGACAAACAGCAGAGGGAGGGGCTCCCAGTACCTTCAGCAAGGTATTCATCTCAGAGTACTTTCTCAGAGTACTTTCCTCAGAGTACTCATCCCAGAGTACTCTCACTTTTACACCTGTTCAATAAAGCTTGTCATCTTTGAATCTCTAGTACTTACACCGTATGCTGTTGACAAAAAATAATTATTCCATGATCACATTAAAACATTACAGAAAACTTTTGTTATTCCATTCTCCGTTCAGCACTCCTCGTCCACTCCCCAACACACTCACAACACCCCACGTTAGTATTGGTCCAGTTTGTTAAGGTCAACGTAGTGTATTGGACATGACGCACAAACATATAACATACACAAACATATAACATACACAAACATATAACATACACAAACATATAACATACACAAACATATAGACAACACAAGAGGCCTGTAATTTTAACTTTGTTATATTTTTCCATGTCCAATTACAATTGTCTCATGAGCTATTTTATAGTTGCAACTTTCAGAGCCTGCAGAACATGCAAAGCTTTGAGAGATTTTTCCTAAAAGGATCCATTTCAAACTTTAGTGTTTAAACCACGTGGTCTTTACTCGGGCTTGTCACAAACTGTGTCCCCTATATTTTTAATGAGCTCTTGTTACTAAAAAAAACTCATGCACGTGCAATAAATGTTTTTCCCCCTTTTTTTTTTAAAGCCAGTTCGGATTCCTTAAAAATGTAAATTAGTTTCAAACTTTAATACTTCACCTTTGTTTCACGTTCATGTGGAGAAAAGACCATTGTTTTATGTGTGTGTACTTGCGCCAATCATGTCTCAGATAAACTGCCAACAGTTATATCAAAGACATAATTGTCCTAATTGTTTCTAATTTAGCTATTTGGAAGAGAAACATGTCATAAAAGATTTCATAAAATGTCCCTACATCCGTGTTTTCAACCAATGAACAGTGTTGCGTCTGTGTTATCAGAAATGATCCAATATCACCTTTAGCCAAAATTCAGAAATGCTTTAAATCATTTTTCAAACTTTAATTGTCTGAACAAACCATTTTGTACTAAATGCAGCGTCCATTAAAAGCTGCAGTTCTCTTCCTAGCACCAGTTTCAACTGTGCATGTGATTGTTCTTAAATGATTAACGAGCCACGGTTCAGAGGTTGAAAACACTGCTTTAAATATCCGTATTACCAAGATCATGCAGTCAAAATCAATAATTCTAAACTTCTCCGCGTCTATAACTTTAAAGCTCCTCTAATAATACTAGTTTCATGCTAAAGCAAGAGTCGAATAATTTTAAGAGCTCCTCTATTTTAAATATACTGCTGTTCTAATCTCCTTGTGTCTCATGCTCATTAAAGCCACGCAAGAGTCGAATGTCTTTCTTTTACTCATGGCGTCTTTCAATGTCTTTTGTCTCAAAGTGTCCAATGTCTTTGTCTCCATGTCTTTTTCCTTCTTCTTTAAACAATCACTTTCTTTCTTCTTCTTTCAATAATCACCTTCTTTCTTCTTTCAATCACTTTCTCATGTCTTTCTTTGTCTCAGTGTGTGTCCTTCTTCTTCTTGTTAGGTTTACACAACGTTCTTCTCCGTGCACATAACTCCACTCGGTTTGTGCAAAAGTCTGGTTTTTCTCCATGAAATGGAGGCCGGAGAGGTCTTCTTCGAGAGTTCCTGTTAGCTGCTGCAGCCGATGCTGCAGTCTTTGCTGCCCCCTGTGGGTGAAACGGGGGAGACGCAGATGGTCCGTGCTGATGGCGCCCGATTGAGGTCTTGTGGCAGACGATTTTGGCCAAATGAGACAGACAGAAGTTTTCTCGGAAAAAACAGACAAACAAGAAGCACAAACAAGTGTGTTAATTACCATACGAAACCAATGATTAATTACAATTCAAAATAAACCTATGAAATAATTAATATTAACATTTTAAACATTAAATTCTGAAAACCAATTCTGCATTCAACTGGTATCCTAAGCCCTATTTTTCCAAAAGTATAATGCTCTCTAAGATCATTCTAACTTTTATATCACCAAAATGTAGGGAAAAAAACTTGTCTAGACGCCTTGGAGATAAAAAATAAAAATAAAATAATGCCTCTTTATAATCTAACTCAAAGTTCTGTGATCCTATGACTCCATGTCAGTAACATTATCGTGTGTATAAATGTAATTTTCTACAAAAAATTCTTTCTTCACGAGAGTGAGAGGAGAGCGAGAGAGAGAGAGAGAGAGAGAGGGAAAAGGGGAGAGAGAGAGGACAGAACGAGGGAGGGGAGGGGCCTCACCGAACAAAGGAAGCATGCCTCGTTTTTCTCGTGACAAGGTTTTAAATCAGTAGTAAAAGTTTTTCTCACGTCAAACGACACTTTACATTTTATCCTTAAATACGTCAGTAATGGAAAACATTACTATTTGCTTACATGAGTAATAGTCCCAGCAGAATCTTTTTTTTTTTCTTTTTTTTTTTTTTTTTGATTCTCTGCATCTGACTATTAAACTTTACTTTATCAGAATGCAGTGAAAAACTTCCACGTGAGGGACGCGGGTATAACTGATCGTAAGGACGCGCAGCTTTCTTCACATGACGCGAGAGGGACGCGGCGTATAGAGAAAAACGCAGCGTGAGGGACGCGGGTAAGAGGAGCAGCCGAAATTCTGAGATGGCACTGCGACGAGGCCGCACCTGCTTTTGTCGGACGCATCCTGGACGAGACGCACCTGTTTTTAGGTCGCAACTCTGCGCGAGACCGACCCTGTTTGTGTAGGAGACGCTACACTGCGTTTTGGGACGCATATGCGGCGAGACGCACCCTGGCGTTTAGGACGCCTTGCGGCGAGCCGCACCTGCCTTTGTATAGGACGACCGGCGTTTGGACGCACTTGCGGCGGAGACGCCCTGCGTTTAGGACGCACTTGCGGCGAGACGCACCTGCGTTTTGGGACGCACTTGCGGTGAGACGACCTGGTTTTAAGGAGGCACTTTGCGGCGAGATGCCCTGCGTTTAGGAACGCACTTGCGGCGAGACGCACCTGCGTTTGGGACGCACTTGCGGCGCGACGCACCTGCGTTTGGGACGCACCTGCGTTTGGGAGCACTTGCGTTTGGGACGCACTTGCGGCGAGACGCACCTGCGTTTAGACGCACCCTGCGTTTGGGACGCACTTGCGCGGCGAGACGCACCTGCGTATGGGACGCACCTGCGTTTAGGAGCACTGCGTTTGGACGACACTTGCGGCGAGACGCACCCTGCTATGGGAGCACTGCGGAGAGACGCACTGGTTTGGGGACGCACCTGGTTTGGGAGCACCTGCGTTTGGGAACGCACTTGGTTTGGGACGCACTTGCGTTTTGCGCCGCACCTGCGTTAGGGACGCACTGGTGGGCCGCGGCGTAGCTTTAGACGCAGTCAAGTATTCCGTAGCAAAGAGGCAGCGGCTGAGGGCAAGGCATGCAGTTTTTAGTGATCAGTGAGGGTTAGAATTGAGTCTTAGTTTTGATGTAGTACGCCAATCAATCTATAGAGTTGGCAGAGTAGAGGTGGTTTATTAATTGGAGCAACTTAACAGATGGAACAACAGCCAGACAGTTGTTAATGTTATCACCATGGGCAGCAGTGCGCGTCCTAGCCAGTGACCCTGCAGAAGGAGGGGCAGAAATAAAATTGTTTAGTTTTAGGTCGTACAAGGAGTTACCACGTAGTGTGTTATCCATAAGTGCTAGTACCGCGTGGTCAGGAATTAAATTGCCGATATTATTGGTTCACCAGCGCAGCTCAATGTGGTACACCAAATTCATGCAGCCGTGTGGCAGTATTAACAGTGTTCGTTTTCGTGTAGTACAAGGATGTGGGTAGTGCAGTATCTGTCAGGATCACACTACCGATGTGGTTGACCCATAACGGCGCATCATGCAGGAGCAGAAGTACAGTAGGCTTCGTTTACCACCGTAATGATGTTATTTATCAACGTTGCGTACAGAGGCAGAATCAAATTCTTAGCTTCACCAACGCCCCCCCCCCCCCCCCCCCCCTCTCCCCCCCCCCCACCGCCTCACTCGCTCCGCTCGCGCTCTCCCTCCCCCCCTCCTCTCCATAGCAATGTGGTTTGTTAGGTAGCCAACACAAAACTCGCAGGACATTGATAGTAGGCCTCATGTGTTAAAGTTACAACTATGGCGCAGTGCTGTATAGCTGTGACATGGCGTGGGAGGGCAGAATTAAATTATTGTTTGTGTTGTGTAAAAGCAGTCATGTGTTTAATAGCAAATAGACACATTGCAGCTAGAGTTGCGCAGAGTGTTCCGCCAGTATGAAAGACTTGGCCCAAGCGCCCAGTAAGGTCGCTAACGGTTCCATTTTGCTTGATAGAGAGGAGGAAGCAGAAACAGAGTGTTCGCCTTGTGTTGCCGTTCGTATAGCGAGTAATGTGGTCTAACGAGAGACAAACAAAACAAACAATGTGACATGCGAGCGAGAAATCCGTGAAAGCAGAAAGATACGAGCTAGGATTAGTACTACACAATAGAGGTATTATCCGTGGCAAGGAGGGGGGGGGGGGTGTGGGGGCTAGGTGGATATCTATATTTAGTGTCGGCTATATAGGTGGTTCGTCTCAGTAGTCGCTGACCTACGAGCGATAGTGCGGGTGGCGCGTGTTTCGGTGCGTCTGTGCCGTTATTTGTTAAATCACCCCACAGATGTGTTACCGTAAACTACCAGTGTGAGTGAGCAGAATAAAGCATAGAATGCGTTACACAAGCGAATGCAGCAGAAGGAGCAGAGTTTACCAGATTCACTTGGCTAACACAGTATGTAGTCTAGCACTGACGTTAAAGAGGCCGAAACAGAAACAGAGTGTTAGCTTTACCAATGTTGGCAGTAATGTGGTTATTGAGTTGGAGTAACAAAACCGCACGGCGGTATAGCAAAGCCGTTTTACTTAGAGACCAGCCACAGATGATTTAAAGACGTGGTGCAGAATGAAGTGTCAAGACAGCAGGCCAATGTTGTCCGGAAGTAGTGCCGGGACGGAAAGCCAATCCTGTGTTAGACATAAAAGAGGTGCGGCACGTTTAGCCGTATGCCGAGCGGCTAGCGCCTTATGATCCACAGAAATCAGAGTGAGATAGGATTGTACGAAAGCTAGTAAGTGGAGTTATGGTAGACAACGGGTAGGCATGCAGTCCAGAATGGTATTAGCAGTGGGGATGCGGCTCTGGCTTTTAGGCACGCCAGGGCCGGAAGTTAGCCGTATGCTAAAACAAAGGAGCGTAGCTAGCCTTTAGCTGCCGGCACGGGACGTTTTAGCAGCAGTATAGCAATACAACAATGAGTTTGGTAACCAATGCACTTTGGTTAAACAGAGCGGCAGTAATATTAACAGTGAGGCGAGAGCTATTAGTGGGAGCGTATTAGGAGCAACGGGTTGTTCGGAATGTAGGCTTTGACGGACTAGCGGGGCCCGGCCGGAGTTAGCCGTATGCTAGAACAAGGAGTGTAGTAGCCTTTAGCTTGCCGGCAACGGGACGTTTTAAGCAGTAGTTTATACAACGAATGTCTGGAGCGAGTGATACGGTTCGCACACGCACGTTATCCCAGCGGTGGGATGGTGTTTGTCTGTATTGTGCAGTACAGTTTGGTGTGTGTGTGTACAACAGCAGGTTAGCGGTAGAGTAGGAGTGGTGAGACAGGGTTAGCGTAGCCTAGCAGAAACAGTACATCACATTCAAGCAGTGCTTTCACTGCCTTTATACACATAAACCTCGGTTATATCCTGTGTGACAGTGGGTCACAAAAGGACAACGCGTATGTTAGGCTTTCATTGCACCCGTAGTTACTTTGAAGTCGCAGGAGCTAGGGAGGGCATGTTTACGGAAAGGGTCTGCTATTCAGCCGATTGGAGCTCACTTTTCCTCACCCGACAGCTCGAGGCTTTCTGTCTGGAGACCGGGGGGTAAAAGTTTGTTGGATCCACGTGGGGGCAGTAGACGTCTATGGGGACAACAACAAGTGAAAAGTTGACACGGGGATTCCTCTCTCTTATTGCGCCGACCTTGCTAACTGGACGCAAAACAATCGTTATCAGTGGCCCATACCAACTGTGGACGGGAAGCAAATGAAATCTCAGGTCGTCTGTATCAGATACATACATTCCTACTCAACGAATTGTTTCACGCAGAGGACTTTCTTCATGAGGATTTTAATCTGTTTTGGAATAGGCATGGCTTTTTGAAGGGAAAGGGCCACATCTGAACATTCGCGAGTAAAAAGTGTTGATGGATACCCTTTCTTTTGCCTAAGACCTCAGCCCTGAGCAGCGCTGTGCAGGCCATCGAAACGGGAGAAAGCGACTCTAAACGTCTCTGCACCTCCACCACTCGAAGGATCTCAACCCCCACCACCCTCGAAGGATTTCCACAGCCTCACAACCTCGAAGGATCTCAACCACCACCACCACCTCGCAGGATTCAACACCTCACCGCTAAAGGATCTAACACCTCCCACTGTCATCAGAAGCAGCTGCATCCTCACCCGCAGCATCTCCAGCAGCACGACCACCACCACAAATCTCATCCCAGCTGCTCAACGCAGCACGCCTTCTTCATCTACAGGCCTCTGAGCCCCCATCCTCAACCCAGCCTACAGGCAGAAGGCCCTGTGCTGAGTTTCCTCAACCACTGCCCTCCCATCAAAAGACTCCTCGCCACCCTCCCATGGAACCTGTTAGGGTCCCCCCTGCCACGTCACTCCCTCAAGAGAAGAATGGGGACACCTCACTTGTTTTCATCCCCGCCTTCACTGTTAGACCTATGAACACTCTGCAGGGCTTAATAAAATCGGCAATGAAGACTTTCCTCTCACACCCCATATTAGTAGCTCTAGAGTCCTGTCCAACATTCCTAAAACCACTCCCATTATGAACTCCAAAAACCACTAGGGTTTCCAATTCACTTACAAAAAACCCCTCAGCCAGTCCCTCCTAACTCATGCCCAAGTCCACCCCACTTCCCCCTCGTGCAAACACCCAAAACCCTCTGCTAGCACCCCGGCCCTAAAACATCACCCAATAAAAAAAAACCCTCGTTCACACAAAAGCCACCCACCTCTCCATCCTCTCCCCCGGCCTTTCCCCCTCCCCCCTCTTTTTCTTAAAACACTAGGAAGCACCAGTGGTCTCTGCTTCGCACCATGGGCAGTCTAGTTAAGAGGGGAGGACCCGGCTGGGGCCCTGTCATGACCGCCACTGTGCCATTCCCTTAGTGATACACAAGAATACATTACAGAAAAAACATCTGGGTTAATCAGTCTAATCTGGAAAACTAATGCTTGTTCGTGTAAGAATCAGCCGACCCACAAACCGCTGTACTGAAACTTTGAAACTTGCTTACGCTTAATGTCCGATCTCTTGGTACAAGTCTTTTTTACTCAATAATTTTATTTGTTCTCATTATCTTGATCTTCGTGTTCATGGTGAAATTGTCTTGACCAAAATTCAGGAAATGCAGTTTTAATAAGCAAGCGTCACGACCAAATTTCAAGTTTGAATTGAAATACGGGAAACCAAAAAAGGAGGAGGCTTAGCTGCCATTTTTGAGACCACCTTGTCTCCATAGACTGTCTCTTGGAAGTTTTTGTCATTTGAATATGTGTCTTTTTAAAATACAACAAAAACAATCTCCTCCGTATCTTCATTGTCCTATACAAGCCACCGCAGTCATGCACAGTTTTATTGATACTTTACCAAGTGGTTTTCTGTTGTATGCACAGATTTTGATAGTTAGGTTATTAAGGTGATTTTAATATTCATGTGGATCTGTTGATGACCAGAAATGCAAATGAGCTAAGTTCTGTATTGAATCCTTTGATCTCATCAGCACGTTAGTGGCCCCACCCACAGCAGAGGGCACACTCTAGATTGTTAGTTATAAGGGGGTGAATATTTTCAAATGTAACGTGGACATGTTGCTCTTTCGGATCATTTCTGTGTTTTTTTTTACTGTGTTTCACTAACTAATCCACCGTGGACTCTGCAAACGTTCGCAGAAGGTGCATAAATGAAAATACGAGTGAAACTATTTATGGGAATGATAAACTTTGAGTATGCATTTTATTCTACTTTAGATGAACTGTTTAACTCTGTCACCTCTAGTGTTTTGAATGTTCTGGATACCGTTGCCCTGTGTCAGGTTAAAATAGTTGAAAAATAAGCAGAGGCGCCGTGGGCTAAGCAGACTCGGTCAGGGCACAAAAGAGAAAGTGCCGGAGGGCCTGAGCGGAAGTTGGCGCAAGTCCAACTCCAGGTTGATTACGAGCTCTTCAAAGATAAGTTGTGCGCGTTTAAACCGGTGTGGTAGTACCGAGAGAAAGGTATTTTTTTCTGAACTGATTGAAGGCTGCAGCAAACAATCTGCGTGTTCTGTTCTCAACAGGTTAATAGATTAAAACCCCCCAGTTCAAATGCCCATTAGAGCTTACTTCCAACGCGTAAATGCAATGGAGTTTGCTATTTTTTCAATGCACAGGTTCAAGGCATCAAAAACGCCTGGTCTCCAATCCACAGATAACCATCCAACAGCCAGAAAGGCTCTCTGAGCTAACTCACTTAGCACCTGTAATGATCAAACTGTCCAAGTATAATTCTCCCAGGTTTGGCTCCTCACATGCCGCCTGGATGTATACCCACTAGATTTCTGAAGTCTGTTCTGAGCAGTCTGATTTACTTCACTCCACAGAATAGTCACATGTCCTTCATTCTGGGGAATATCCCTAAAAGGCCCTGACAACTGCAGTCATCAGGCCCTGCTAAAAAGCGCAGTCTCGATGGCCTCGGTACTTAACCACTATCGTCCCATCTCCAAATCTGCCTTTTAGGGGAAAGTCCTTGCAGAAAGTTGTCTACCTACAGTCTTACGTAGATTTTTTAGTCAACAACTCATTTGATTTGTTGCAGTCCGGCTATAGGACCCCACCACAGCACTGGAGGATGCTCTCGTTAAGGATTACAAACGTTATCGGTGAACCACTGACGTAGGCCAAGTATCCAATCTTAATCTTGTTAGATCTACGTGCTGCCTTTGACACTGTCGACCAATCCGGTGAGCCTAGCCTAGCTCGCACTAACTCGCTATACGGCGGTACTGCTGTCTCTCCCTCAATCCTTTACTGCTCGAGTCAATCCTTTACTGCACCATATGGCGAGTCTAAACCCTGGATCCTTCTCTGAGGGTAGTGATAGATGTGTGAAGTGTAGTGTAGTCGTAGCTCTGGAATCCAGGGTCAGTGAGTTAGAGCTGCGTCTCCGAGCACTGGAGTCTCGAGCTAGCGCTAGCATTAGCTACAGCCAGGACCGTATCATCCAGGGACAGCGGAGCGCAGCTTTAGGGACTGATTTAGGAAGGCAGAGGTAGAAATAGCGAGCCTAGCCTCCCAGCCCGTCCTCCGCAGCTGGGACAAGACCAGGATAGTGATGGCTTTGTGACTGTTCGGATAGGGCTGACGTGTTGTTGGTAGTTTCCCCATTGGGCCTCCTCCTGTTAGCATTTACAATCGCTGGACGCTCTGTCCGGCTGCGCCGCCCGCGCGGCCGGGCGGGGAAGAAGGCCCCACTACGGAGAGAGCCGCTGAGAGAGCTGCTGGAGGGACAGAATAGCCGGTGGAGTCGCTGGATGCGCTCCGGTAATTGGCTCCTCTATTGTTAGAGGTGTTAAGATCCCAGGAGCCACTGTTCGGTGCTTCCCTGGGGCCAGGCTTGGTGATTATTGAAGGGAATCTGAGGCTCATGATGACCCACAAGCTAGCAGTTTCCGTCGAGATTGTTTTCACGCGGGTGGTAATGACGTTCGGCGGAAACAGTCCGAGGTGTTGAAGCTGCAAGTCGCCGCGGTGTGCAAGCTGGCTAGCACAATGGCCGACACTGTCATCTTCTCTGGGCCCCTACCTAGCACTAGCAGTGCAGAAGCATTCAGCAGACACTCGGCTTTCAACCGCTGGCTGTCTGGCTGGTGCCCTCGAAGTGGTGTTGTTCATGTTGACAATTGGAGTGCCTTTTGGGGAAAGCCCGGTCTCATCCGCTCGGATGATATCCACCCAACGTTGGCGGGTACATCCCTTTTGGCTAAGAATTTGGCCCTGGCTCTAAACTGTTCTGCTCGGCTCAAATGACGGTGCAGAACTGAGGCCCGGGTGCAGAGCTGCTCTGCCACAACCTCTGAGCCCCCATCTGTTCAGTTACTAGCCTCAGAAGCTAGTCAGATTGAAACTGTGTGTGCATGTGTGTGTGTGCCTGTGTGTGCTCAGTTACTAGCCTCAGAACCTAGTCAGATTGAAACTGTGTGTGTTCCCCGCTTGAAGTCTAAAGCACTATATGCGAGGAAATCTGACCTAGGTGTCAGACACAGTAACTTAATAAAAGTTCAGACAGACAGAAATAGTTCTAGCAGTAGGGTTGTTAAATGTGGTTTAATGAACGTCAGATCAATCTCGTCTAAATCGCTTCTCATAAACGAACTTATTATAGACAAGGGCTTGGATCTGTTTGCGCTCTCGGAGACTTGGCTCCAACAGGACGACTACGTTAGATTGAATGAGTGCACTCCTCCGACGCATGTTAACTACCAGAAAGCCAGAGCTACAGGTCGCGGCGGTGGTGTTGCGATTATATCACACACCAAACTTGGTTCTTAGTCCCAAAACCAACAATGCTTTTCACTCGTTTGAAAACTTAACACTTTCAATCACCTGTCCTGGGTGGAGAAAACAAAAAGCAGTATTATTTATAGTTTTATACCGACCTCCTGGTCCTTACAGCGAGTTCCTAACAGAATTCTCTGACTTCATTTCAAACCTAGTTTTGGAATGGGAAAACATAGTTATAGCTGGAGACTTCAATATACATGTGGACGACAGCACTGACAGCTTAAACAAAGCTTTCAGCGCCGTACTAGATGGTGTTGGTTTTACTCAGAATGTCGAGGAACCTACTCACATTCATAACCACACCTTGGACCTTGTCCTGACCTACGGCTGTGATGTCTCCAATGTTGACATCCAGCGTCAAAGCTCGTTGCTGTCTGACCATTTCTTGATCACGTTTGATCTCGCTTTGGAGGACTTTCCTGTCCCGCAAGATAAAACCATAATGAAAAGAACCTTAAATGATAAATCTATCAACAAGGTTCAAAGAACTAATACAGCCTATGTTGAATACTGCTGCAGGTGAACCTGTTCACAGCAGCTGCAGTCCCTCAGTCATTGACCAAACGGTGGGCAACACTATGGAGTCTTTAAAATCTGCATTAAATGCAGCAGCTCCTTTAAAACAGAAAACCATTAGGATTAGATCATCGTCGCCCTGGTACAGTGTTCAACTCCACACTTTAAAACAGGACGTCAGAAAATTGGAGAGGCTATATCGCCACTCCCACTCGGCGCCTGTCCACAGGGAGTGGAAAGCAGGTCTCCGAAACTACAAGAAGGCCCTTCGCGGGGCTCGAACTCAATACTATTCAACTTTAATAGAAGCGAATAAAAACAACAGTAGATTTTTGTTTAGCACCGTCGCTAAACTCACAAAC